GGGTCAAGTAAGCAAGTTCACTTATCCGACCCCCCCGTCGCTGGAGCACTTCGTGGAGTATGTCATTTGATATTGATACCCCATGAGCTGAACCAGATATGATGAGAGGAGGTCCTTGCCCGAAATTATAGCTCTTCCAGAGTATATTTCGACAGCAGAAAGGTTATGGTTCGAGTTTTCTGCTCGTGGAGGCAGAGCGTTTTCTGTTTGTTGGTTCCTACATAAGGTGAGTTGTCAGTCCGGAAGGATCTTGTCTGGCAGTCTGTCCAGATACATGTAGTGGAGCAAGGTCCATTCGAGATAGATAGAGAGAAGAATATGGGCCTCGCTGCACTACTCTCGAAATGTGCAAAACGAGAGTGAATCTTCCACTAGCATTCGGAAAGATACACCGCCAAGATTTTTGTCTTTTGTGCATGTCGAGAGTAGTGCAGCAACGCCCCATATTTTAGGTCCATTCTTGGGATTGCACCTCAGACGGCTCTGAAATCACAATTCCAAAATCCGAACCCATAACTTTTTCCACAGATGGCAGGGACGTCGCAGAAGGATATAATCTCAGCAGAGTCTCATCAGAGGCATAGTGTTCCCCTCATGGCTGAGGGTGAAAAAGCATCAGATGTTGCCAATGGTAACTGGTACATGGACCACAAGATGACAAATTGGATTAGGGGCCTACCCGACCCACATCTTAGGAAAAACGCATGGCTGTTCTCCGCTGCTGATCTGTACAGATCATCGGCGGATATCCTCTGCCCGTTTTTCTTATAGATTAGGGGCCACTTTCTGTACTTGAAAAATCCGGGCCTACAGGACCCGGTTTCGAAATTGCGGGGCAGGGCCCGCACCCACGAGGCCTTGGGAACACATACGCGCCGACAGAAAAAAAAAAATTCAGCCCCCAGCGAAAATGCGCTGGGGGCAACCGGGAGGGAACCGGCCGGGGCCAACGGCCGGTCCAACCGGAAGGACCGCGGATGGGGTAGGGGTCCCCGGTCCATCCGGGGACCAGCCCTGTCTTGAACTAATTTCTCAAACTAATTTCTTAAACTTTATTTCTTAAACTTTATTTCTTAAACTTTATTTCTTAAACTTATTTCTTATTTGTTTCCGAGCACTGAGTCTAGGAATACGTTTACGAATGACTGCTGGACGTGGGTCAGCCTCAAAACTCCTCGCCGGCGTCGCCGCCAAGTTCAACACTGAGAAAGCAAAGGGACAAATAAGGAAAACAGAAACGTGGAAATTGCATGCCCCCTTAGAACACCCCCCTACCAACCACCGCTTCATTCAGGTTTACCCTTCCGAGCCTGCACTGATTCTCAAGACTGGTTTATGACCCTGCATCGGGCACGGGACAAGTTTCCGGGTTGGAAATGTCTTCCATGGATGACATATCTTTTCATTTAGCGGCACAGAACGCCAAAACAAGATTTGGCTGTCACGACCTACAATCCGACACAGCTGTGCACTGCCGTTGCCATCCTCGGTCGGACACCATTTCCACAGGAGGACTCGCGCCCCAAGGCCGCCGCCTCCACGCCTCTGAATCGAGCCAGTAACCCCCCTTCCCCCCCCCCCCCCCCCCCCCCCTCCCCGAATAACAACACGGCTCTGAAGGCCAAACAAACATTCACAGAAACAACAGGCAGATTCTGCTGCTTTCCTTTCGACACACATAAAATCACCGCAAGAATGTACATATAGAAATCACCACCAACCAAGCCCGAGTACACGCAGCCTTTATGGCATTTAGCTATCTGCGCGTATTTATTTTATTACTACGAAGTTTCGTCTTGCGACAAAACCATTTGAAAGAAGTGCATCTCCGCAAAACTCTTCTGAACTGTCCAGAAATCAGGCCAGGTTCAAAATTTAAATCCAACATCCTGTCCGGACGGATGGATCTGGCCAAACAAACATTCGTGCCAGGCAATCAATGCCAGACAATCAATCAATAACTTAGGCTCTACAGCCAAACAGCTAAACGGCCTTGAGAGGTAGGCGACTGGCACAGGTGTGTGGCCGGAGTTTTTGGGTCTGGATGGAGTCCATCCAGCCCAGCCGCCCCGCCATCCAGACAGGGTGTTACATGCTGCGCCTGCAACAGGCTGCACAAGCCATTTTCAGGCCCGTGTCGTTTTCAGCCCCAAAGCCTGAAAACAAGGGCCTACAGGCCCTGTGTCCTTTCAGCCTGAAAGCCTGAAAACAAGGGCCTACACGCCCTGTGTCGTCTCAGCCTAAAACATGGCCTTCCCGGCCCTGAGTCTTTTCAGCCTGAAACGGAGGGCCATTTTCAGGCCCCCATAAGATCGACCTGCCCTGAAACTCAGGCACCAGACCAGGGTTTTAGCACAGGCCATTTTGGGCCTGTTTTCAAGACAACCCTTGGTTGAGCTTCAACGCCAGGGTCTGGCACGTTGCGGCATTGGCAAGAGCAGCCTCCTGGACGGGGCAGCACTATATAGGACTGGCCCGCCCTGCAGGCTGCAGGTAGGTACTTCCCAGGCACTTCATGTGCAGTTCAGGAAGCAGGAGGTAGTCTTCAGGATTCGGCAGCAGCACTCTGAAGGAGTGCTGCAGGAGTAGTAGTAGCGTTAGCAGTAGTCTTCAGCGCTAGGCGCTAGTAGCGTTAGCAGTAGTCTTCAGCGCTGGCCGCTATTAGGAGCTATAGTACTAGAGAGAGAGAGATTGGGAGGAGGCCAGGGAGACTTTACCTGCAGCGCCATAGCTCCAGCTTCGCCTTCGAGGTGCCTGCAGCACGGCGCCATCTTCACAGGTTAGTACCTGGCAAGGCTGGCAAATGAGAGAGAGAGAGAGTTCTTCTTCTTCCTCTYCTCAGTCCACCATCTCCCTCTCACCCTCTCGCTACCTGACTTCACTGCATCAGCAGACTATGAGAGAGCAGGCTTGGTGACATTTGGATCCAGACTCGACATTGGGCTTCAGACATTTGACGAGGGATTATCTGGGCCTTGTAACGAAGACTTGGTGTTGACGACATTCCCATCGCCCCCCTTCTTCTTCGTCTGATTCCCTCCTCTTCGTCTGTGTATGGTCTGGACCTGGCGCATTCTTCCTGTGTGTAGCGCCAGGCCCCGTCACACCTTGTGATGAGGATGATGTCTGTTTGGTCTGCACTGCGACATTGATTGGGCTAGTCATTGGTATTCTACCATTCTGCTGTGCTATCTTGCACTATGTGAGAGAGGTCAGTCCCGGTCAGGTCAGGGCTTATATCTAAGTCTTCCACTGCACTACAAAGCACCATTTCGTATGTATCAGGATGTACATTGCTTATTGAGATTGCACTTGCACTGCATTGTCCATTCAGTCCTTTTTATCACATTGCGGATCCTTGGCTTTATATGTACATCGCCCGACTGGGCGTGTAACACCGGGTCTGGAAAAAACGTCCGAAGACAATCGGTGCGCGGCAGACTGACACAGACAGACCTGTCCCCACCCTTTTTTTTGGGACCCTGACCAGATGGTCTGGCATTCAAATTTCGAAGTAGGTTTTGCTTGAGTTATTTTCACCACAAGATATGGTTTCACCACAAGATATGGTTTTCACTGCCTGACTGACTGCCTGCCGGCCAAGCAGCACTGGAGATTCACTGCGACAGAGCTAACGGCATACTCACACTAACGCTACCTTACATGTATCTGATTGCATTTGCGGCCGGACGCGGACGTATGCGACCGCAACTACGTTCATAAACAAGTAAAATAGCCCTGTGCGAGTATGCCCTGAGTAAGTGGTAGACGCCTGGGCACAAGGAAACCTTGGCTGACGGAGGAGAGCGGGGAGAACAGAGGGAGCGGGGAAGACATTTTCAAGAGGGCAACGAGAGACGAACAAAGCAAGAAGGAATACCTTGTTGATGTTCAGCCATCCTTGTATACACTCCGAGTGATAGACGTGATTGCAGCCAAGCACAGTGACAGTGTCTGCTGCCTCGAACTCCAGCCGGCACACCACACATCTGCACAACGAGATCCAAAAAAGAAAAAAGTTATACACTTTGAAGTTTGAAGTTTGAAGTTGGATTTTTTTTTTTTTTTTTGGAACTTCAATCAAGACAAGAAGAGTTGACTTGCACGATACTTATGCCGTAGCAAGAACGGCCGAACCTCATCACCGAGAAACCGCATCGCATAAAGTTTCCACATCAATACAAGTCTGCATTCAGCTGCAATGATGCAGAGTCTCCGACAAATTGGCAATCAGAATCGTTGTCAAATCACATACGAGCATTCATCGCCCCTGGCGCAATGCATATCCAAATTCTCCCGAGTCAGTCAGTCATCTTGAACCTTGATCTTCACCCATCTGTGCTACTACCGCCTTCACCCCAACAGAACACCCGGTCATCGTAGCCATATTTGGGGCAACTTTCAGTCTAGAAACAGCGATAACGACCGGGCATTCTGTTCAGGCAAAGAGCGTAGAATGGAAGTGGCAAATTTGAGATTTCTGCAACGTAATCGCACACTGTTGTCCGGGAAGCATATCCAAAGGAACAAGGAAACAAAACCATACTCACTGTTCTTCTTCAGCCACAGTGGATTGGCTAGATCCATCTCCTTCACCACTTCCGCTTTGCTGCCTGACCTGCCCATATGTAGACCTAGGCAGAGAGGCAATCACCTCCTGTGGCAATCCTCGGCTCTCCGTTCCCACGACATCTCCCAGAGCTACCAGTTCCTGCGCGGCCCAAGAAAAACTGAAACAGCAGTAAGAACTCAACTCAACACGAAAGACCTTTCAATTCAAAGTTTCAAAAAATTTCAAACCGATGCGCATAGTTTGTGTAAACATAAACTTCGCCGACTCCAGCTCTTCCCCTCCCCCACCTCCGCCCCCCCTCCCTGCTGCGCCCTCTTCACCCCTCTCAAACTTCAAAAAAGGTGGCATTCATGACCACCTTCGCCCACTCTGCGACCTCCACAATAATAAGCTTGCCCTCGAATGCATTACACCCATTGCAGAGAGTGCGCCGCTCTCCCTACTGAAAGTCCTTAAACCACCAGTACTTGGCCCAGCTATCGATGCCGAGCCCGAATATGCCCTGCGCGTCATTTTGCGCCGACCCGCCAACTGTTTTGGCTGACGGCGTCAGCTTTTCAAGTCCGGTACCCCGGGCCTCCGAAACTTGTGGGGCGTTAACGACAACGCCCCGCGGCCGACATATGGGCCAGGTACCGGTGGTTTAACACCTTATCCACAAATGAAATACGCCAGCGCCCGGCCCCTGCCCCCCCTAGGGAGCTGCTCGCTCTCCCCACCTGTCTGACCAGCTGGCAGTGGAGCCTTACCTGGCAAACTGGGCAACAGGCCTGATTGCGAGTGAGTCGGTGTACACGAGGGGGATCAGCAGAGGGAGATCAGACATAGCAACTGGGCAAAGCAGAGCTGGTCACAAATGTGGAGAAGCCAATTGACAGAGTCTGGTTTCAATTGACCTTTCCCTGCATGGCGTTCTGCATATCCCCATGACAGCAACCCTACCCGACAGGTTTGTGAAATCTCGCCCATCCAATATGTGAACACTCTTGCGGGTGCATGTTGGTTCTACCTTCAGACCATCAAACAGGACAGGACCACCATGATGCAAATTGTCACGCAGCATTGTGGTCATGCATACTGTTCCAAAGCACTGTGGCACTGAGAGAATTGTTCTTCTTCTGCTTTCGCCTACTTTTATTCTGCTGAACACTCCGTGCTCGACATTACTCCAGAGTCGAACACGACTAGAACAAACAGCCTTCAGCCTTCAGCCTTCAGCTCCACAACTCAAGTTGCAACTGCTGCTGGGTACCATTCAGTCAGTCACCAAGCAAGTGCAAGGACACCATTTCGCTCATCCTAACTCGAGATAACAGTCAGTGGTTTGAATCATTAAAATCATCAAATCAAACGCCTTAGCGAACTCCAGATATGCTCGTGTCGGGTAACCAACTGCGTTTTGGATTGGAGATTTGAGAGAGGCCTGTTCTTCGTTGAATGCTGAAGCGATGAAATGTGTGAAACCAATCGACTTCTCGAGGAAAAAAGACGATGAGTAGCATCATCCCGGTCGCAAACTTGTTTCCTACATCCTTTTTCGCCGGGCAACGATTTACCTCGTATGAAAAATTGTCCGGGTCATACTCTTGCGCCCAGACATCCTGCACAGAGCACACAAATAGCCATCAAAGACGGGCAAATGCACCAGAATGAATCAATACCTGAACACACCTCAGGGAGATGATGCTGATAACCTTTTGCATTTGCAATTTCGCATGCATTATCAGAAAAGATTGAAAAAGAATATTTCACTGGAAATGTACAGGAGGCCGTAATCCATGGCTCAAAAGCTTGTTGGTATAAAGTGCTCCTAAACCCATACACAGAGAGAGAGAGAGAGAGAGAGAGAGAGAGAGAGAGAGAGAGAGAGAGAGAGAGAGAGAGAGAGAGAGAGAGATTGTACTTCTGCGTAAGCACGTGTTACATTTTTGGTATTCTACAACCACATGAGTGCATGTGTGCACGCACATGTGAATTTGTCAGAGGGTCAACGATGGAGGAGTGGCGCACTGTCAACATCAAGTTTTCCATACACGCTTGACATGAGCTCTCTTGGGTCTGATTTTGATTCCTTTTTTGTTTCTTTTGATTTTGGTTAGACTTAACTTAGACAGGCTTTTCGTATTCTGTTTCCATTTCTTTCTTTCCTTTTCTCCTCTCTTTTCTATTTTACGGAAATTTTTACCTTCTGCACCAGGTCCCACCTGGTTTGATCGTTTCTTCGTTTTTTGGTATTGTTTCAAATTTTGGGTCGTCTCGCATTGAAAAGACAGCCAGAGCTGTGCGGACTGGACCTCTGACAAAATAGAAAATCCTCCAGTGAAGTCACTCATGACGAACCCTTTCAGTTTCGGAGTTCCACCAGAGTACCATGAGCAGGCAGTGCATGTATTCTTCCGGGTCTGCGCATTTATTGAGTCCTCCGTTGTGCTTGCTTCGTTTCCACACCTTCCCATCACGCATGCATGTACGATGTCTTCCCATGATCAGTGCGCTTATTGAGTCTCCCGTGTTCCCATGGTCTGCGCGCTTTTTCTTTTCACAAGCATGGAAAGCAAGGTGCCAAGAACATGGCAAGTAACGATCAAGGTGCACGTGCTGATCGATAGCAAGTACACATGAAGGAAGTGGAAGAGATGCTCAGGGGCTTGATGGAGACAGCAGGATATAGGGTGCAATGGAAAAGGACCCGATGGGCAGATGAAGGATCACCCAGAAAAGGGGAAGGAGATAACGGAAGAGTTTGTGAAAGGAGTATTCGAAGGGGGCAAGATAGCGAAGATTGAGGGACAGAGACATACTTAGGAGAGTTTGTGAAAGGAGTATTCGAAGGGGGCAAGATAGCGAAGATTGAGGGACAGAGACATACTTAGGAGCTTGATGGAGACAGCAGGATATAGGGTGCAATGGAAAAGGACCCAATGGGCAGATGAAGGATCACCCAGAAAAGGGGAAGGAGATAGCGAAGATTGAGGGACAGAGACAACAGTTTTCATACGGTGGGGGCAGGGACTGAGACCCAGATAGAGCTAGCCCCCAATAAGTCAGAAGCATAGCTGGAACCTCAAGTTTCAGTATGGGAAGAGAGTAGGGCAGGTAAGACGAAGGCGAAAGGCTAGACTTTTGAGACGTTCTGTGGAAAAGGGTAGTACGTAAAGAGGGAGGGGGTCTGGCTCAAACCGTTGGATGGGCATACAAAAAAAAAAAAAAAAAAAGAAAGAAAGGAAGGAAGAAACGTGGAAGGGGGAAGGTTTTAAATTACCACGGTATTGTAGACCGATATAGAAAGTAGAACAGCGAAAGGAAAGACAGAGAGAGAAGTCGGGAGAAGTCGAGGAGGTTTTAAACTACCACGGTAACAAAACTGGCAGTCAATCCTTCCCAGGGGAAAGTAATCAATGCTGCCAGAGCATAGTGGGGGGTAGGACAGCAATGGTAGAGGGTGCATGATTCAAACAGGGGCAGAGCAGCAGTAAACCATTCAAGGAGCAAGTAACCAATTCCACCGTCCGAAGGCTCTCCCGGCCATAACGAGGAGAAACGCAGAGTGAGGTAACAAGGATGGAAGGGACGGTGGCCCGGATTCCGGCTCTTAAAATAAATAAAAAGAGAACCCCGTTTCTGAAAACAAAAAGAAAAAGAGAAGAAGAAGAAGATTGACTGGGCCGCCCTTCTACCGTGCACGTCCGATAACCGGGTCAGATGCACATGACAGTGCGCCCTCCATGTGTTTGCACGTGAAGTGGCAAATGAATGCTGGTTTCGGCGTTCCTGTCTAACCTGGTCTTGCATTCCATGTGCGTCTGCAGAGGCGCTCTGCGGACTGAAATCTTGTTGTGTGTGACTGCTTGTTTCACTTCGCCTGCAGCACAGCTGCTTTTGCATTTGATGTGCGTCTGTTGAGGCCCTTTTTGCATTTGACCATATTGCGCTTGCTTGTTTCCACTCGCATGCATCACAACTGCTTTTGCATTTGATGTGTGTCTGTGGAGGCCCCCTTTGACAATATTGCGCCAGTCACTGCGACCTCCACTCGCAAACCAAAGGGACCCCTTTTTCAAAGAAAACTGGGTGGGTTACAGGCCCGGAGGGGGGGGGGGGGGGGGGGGGGAAGGAAGCTTGCTCAACGCGGATCCATTGGGTACGAGGTTGAAATGGCACCTACGTTTTGTATGGTGTCTTTCAGGAGTACCTTTGATGTAGTACGTACCATCTTCCAGATGCATGGCAGCATTTTCTTCACGCACCAATGGGCCCACTGGACCTGGTGCCACGCTCTGCCCCCCACTGGGCACTGCGCCCAGCAAACTGGGACGGGATCCCTCTGAGTCCGTATACAGCCCACATCCTCTACGGCATGGCGGCAGGTCTCCTGGAGGTTCAAAGTTCACACTGCTGCCGCCACTACCTGCTGAAAGATCAGGCCAACCTCTGACAACAGAGAAAATCCTATGACCGTCAGATTGCCAATTTTCAACATACCAGCTGGGGGCAAACGGTGAACACCTGGGTGACCAGCGTGGTTGTAAGAGGTGGCAGTGGGTTGTAGTCGAACTGCAGGCTCAATGGGGGAAAAAGTGCTCGTCAAGAAAATGAAGCACCCTTGGAAGTACCCAGCCCATGCAGCTCAGTGGTACAACCATGTACCTAACTCTAAATAAAACACGTTAACTGTTAGTAAAACACGTTAACCGTTAGTAAGACACGTTAACTGTTAGTAAAACATGTGACTGTTAGTGAAACATGGAACTGCTAAGAAACACAGCATGAGTTCAAATCCTGATGCGCTTTTTCACCTGATAGATACGTGACAATATAATATGCACGGTTTATAGATAGATATTAGATAATATATGTGTTTATATGCAAACATGTGTATAGACAGGGTTGCACCCCCCGACGGTCGGCAGCCCTTGACTGGTTGGATGCCAACCCGCCGACCGATCGGCTGGTTGGCACCTACCGGTCGGGGGTCGTCGGCACCCCGCACAAAAAAAAAAAGGTCCAGAAAACCCCTAATAAAACCACCAACACCCCCATAGCGGCCCCCAATACCCCCAATACCCCCATACACCCCCCCAACACCCCCAAACCGCCCCCCCCCATACCACCCCGCATCCCCAAAAGTTTCTCAGCGGATTTGAGATGTACTCAGATTCGAAAGAAAAAAAAAGAGGATGGTTTGTTTTTTTTTTTTTCCGGACCGGTCGGCAGACTGCCGACCGGTCGGCCCTACTGGTCGGATGCAATACGGTCAGCAATCGGGGTTGGCGGTCGGCAGGGATGCAACCCTGTGTATAGATATATATAATATGTGTACGTATTGTCAGCTCTCTATCAACTGAAATGAGAGCACGCACGCTGCAACTGCTCTTTTGGCTCCTTGTAGGGGTCCAACAGGTTGCGGCAAAGCCGCTCATAAAAGTGCACTCAGTAAGTCAAAAATAGGATTTCATACAAAGACAATGCAGGTCGAATTGCGCGGGCAACATGTTCACACCTGTAACCCTTCATCCTCACTGTCTTCGGGTGACTCTGGTTCAACACATCACAACGACAAAGAACATGCAGTGGAGAAAACCAGTGAAGTGAATAAGCCAGCAGTCAATGACTGTAAGCACACTCTGCAGCAAACATGAGCATAACTCTGCACTAGGAAGTTACCCAAACTTGCAGGCCATTAGTGCACAGACGTAACATAGACTTTATATATGAAATATGAATGAATGAATGAATGAATGAATTTAATAAGGGAAAACCCGGGCGCGGTCACTGTTTAGGGTTTCAAAATGCAGTCTAGGCAAAACGCTGAAAATGTTGGATGTATACAAGCTAGCTTCAGGGTCCGGTGGGGGTGTATTATGTTTGAGGGATGCCTGAAATGTATTTTCAAACTGTTTTCCAGACTGCACAAAAGTTGCCCCATCCAATAAATCGCAAGGAAGATGAGCATTAGCGAACTTCAGCAATCAAACCGCATCATACATATGAGCCCAGATAGTTTTGACCTCGAACCACAGCAGACTGGCATCACAAGATACACCAAGTAAGAACACACCAAGAGTTCAAAATTGACAATSCTGAAGTAGTCCCATCATCATCAACTACGAACCAGAGTTGATATCCTATTGKCGCTCGGCGCCCAGACTACAKGTGGCAGATCCTATCTAGCCTATACTACGAAGCAGAATGATGACATCAACAGCGTTCCCGAAGTACGAGCATATGGCGACCAATGTCGCACGCTTCAGCYCCAGGTATGTCTCTCGTAACACTCACAACCCCGATCCACACCGCACAGATGCCACTAGCACCYCAAGGACCACCCTGCGCTTCACCTAGCATACAGCAGCGCAGCTTGGCTATGGCTGCGTGCTCCCTCCTACTCGCCCGTGAGAGCGTGAGTGYCAGCCAGCCAGCGGATTGCGCAGCAGCGCTCACGCAGCATGCAGCCAGCACCCGAACGCCGAATGAGGAGGCAGGCCCTTCCCTATATCGAAGTGGCCTGCCTGCGTCCAGTCCAGGAAGCTTCCGGTAGGCCCCGGTAGGCACAGGCCCAGTCACGAAGAGAGCAGGCCTTCGGCCTGAAGTGGTTGCATGCGCCCAACTGCTTTCGGCCTGTGTTTGGCCCGGTACCCGTATCCAGCCCAGGGCCTGCTTCACATTAATTTACACAGGCGGCCCAGGGCCTGGATTCATTCAACCAACTGGCGCAACGCAACTGTCTGAATTTCCCCGTTGTGGGGTACCCTGAAGAATGAGGCCCGAAGGGCCTGTCGTGCCTGCCTTCACTTAGGGCGGCCGACCTTGTTGCAGATAGGGCCCCGTAGGGGCTAAGCGGGCGTAGCCTCGCAAAATTGATATGTAGTCTTAATATATGAATTTGAAATAAGTTTTCAAACTGTTTTTTTTTTAAGAAAGAACTCAGGACGTCTCCATCATATACATATACAAATACACACACACACACACAGAGAGAGAGAGAGAGAGAGAGAGAGAGAGAGAGAGAGAGAGAGAGAGAGAGAGAGAGAGGGGGGGAAACCCAAGTGAACAACAGTGCTAACCCGAGCAACAGGGATTGGGACAGAACCGAGACAGAGAGGACAGAAAAAGTGATGTCCAATGCAAAACAAAAAGAAGACGCAACCTTGTTGACGCCCAGACAAACAGCAGTCTCACCAGGCAGCGAGCATGCTAATGCCATCAGCCTTGCCGTCATCTCCCTGTCCTCCTCCTCTTGCAAAGCTCGTGCAAGCGATTCATCATCGTCGTATCTTGTACCGTCGATCTCCATGCTTTCTCTTGTTCGTTGATCCAATGGTTCCTGTGCATTCCCCTCAGAGTGAGCGCCTTGCCCAGGTCTCCCCTGCGACCCTGTCCCACCATCGTCTTCGCCAGCAGCGGGCCCATCGCCATCTCCCTCCACTCTGGCATCATTCTCCGCTCTGCCAAGATGGAGAAGATTTCCGTCGTCAAAGACACCACCCAAAAGTTCTTCACTCTCGCTACCATACCCATGAGCTCCAAAGCCAGTTAGCAGAAGGTAAGCCCGTTCCTGAAACAACCACAAGGAAAAGAAGAAAACAAAAAAAAAGAAAAGACTCAGGCAGAAATACACTAGCAAGCAGGGCTTCAAAGAGGGGCAGTAGGATCAGGAGAGCAGTTGGCAGGGGCGGTATATGAGAGGAGGGTCTGAAAGGGAGGGAGAGAGGGTGAAGAAGTTGGCAAAGCCAAGGACCTGGGGTGCAGTATAAACAGGCAATGCCGAGATAGAACAGGGGGCGGGGGAAGTACAAGGGAGGAATCATCAGGAGGAAAGGAGTGAAGTAGGGATTGGGAAGCGGGAGAGGGGAACGAAGGAAGAGGAAGTGAAAAGGGAAAGTGCAATGGGAAGGGGGGGACAAAGGCAGGACCAGGGAAAGGTAAAGGAGGGAGAAGGACAAGATGAGGGAGACAAAGGAGAGGAGGAACAGAGGATGGGGGAAATAGGCACCGGGCTGAGGAGGGAACAACAAGAGCGACAAGAGGTACAAGAGGCAGGGGGGACGGAGGAGAAGGAGGGGGCAGATGAAGGTATGCAGGGAAGACAGGGAAGCTCCTGCGAATCTGGAACTCCCCAGGTACAGGGTAGGCCGGTCTATGAAATACCCATAACAGCAGAAGAAGATAAAAGAGAGGGGATGTCGACTGGATATAAGCGTAGAACGAAGACGGTATCTGCTGGTCCCCCCAAAAGCTCGTCATCGGCGGAGTGTTTCCCGGCCCCGACGTTTTCGTCAACAGAGGCTGGGTCCACATGGAAGGGAGATGTTTACCAACCGAAGTCGAGCCTGCAGGAGCAATCGGCTTATATACGAGAAAGGGAGCGATCCCTGATTGGGGGAAGGGGACAAGGACCACGGTATTGGTTGAGAGGGAAACGGCGTAGGGATGTTACGCCATCCCCCTCGGCCTAGGCTCTGCTCAGGGAAGTGAGTTACGACCTTCCGGTGGAGGGAATAAGCGTGAATATATGCACTCCGGAAAGGGAGGCAGTATCGGGGGCGGCAGATACAGGGAGCCATGGGGAGAGACTTTGGAAACTTTGGAAACCTCAGGGACTGAGGAGGTGCAGGGGGAGCAGTCAACCCAGGAATCGACAGAAGAAGGTGGGGGAGAGGAGGAAGGTGAGGGAGGGCAGCACTCGAAGCAGGACCGACATTGGCCGGTGCCTGAGGAAGAAGCCTCGCAAAGCAAGTCCACGCAAGCGAGTAGGACCAGAACACAGACACATCGGGCGGAGGCAAGGGAGGAGGGGCAGCAGCAGGAGCCGCTGGCCCAGCTAGTAGAATTAGCAAAGCAAGAGCGGGCAGGGATGGGTTTGAAGAGTATTTTGCAGGCAGAAGGGTGTTATGTGTGCCCCATAACCCTTTGGCGGACGGCTGGCGGGGATAAGATACTGATGGAGGGGGCAACCGAAGTACTGACCTTTAGTGCAAGCAAGTTGCCACAAGAGTGGCAAGTGTTGAAGCAGGTGACGGACTGGGTGGGACAAAAGTTCGAAGTGCGGTCCCTGCCCCCTATTTCTGCTTCTAGATTCATGCACAGTACGGTCAAAGGGAAGGAATATGCAGTGATCGTGTACTTTGTCGAACTCGTATCCAAAAGACCGGGCAATCCGAGACTTCGGGGAGGCCTGCAGTGGATTCCATTTGAAGAAGCCTTTGGGCCGGCAGCAATCCCACAAGATTACCATGTGGTGTACACGACATCCTTGGCCATTCTTAACAGCGTCAATGCGCGCCTTCCGCAGAAGGATCATGTTGGAAACGAGCAGTTTCAGAATGGAATAGGGATATGGGAAAGGGGGGAGCAAAGCACGAACTATGTTATCCTGTAGGGTGTCGCATGGAGAAGGACTCCCCCCCCCCAAACATCAAAACAGGGAAGCCTAGGTGAGGTGATGTTTCAAAATGATAGATAGGTTGAGGGACCGTGAGGGGAGCTGGGAGAAACAGAAAGGAGGTTATAGGAGAAGGGGTATGGGGCCGGGTAGGAAATGCAATCGGTTGAACATAATGACATGGAACCTGTGGGGAATAGGAGCAAGGTCACTCTTGCCCAAGCGAAGGGAACTAGCGAAGCAGGTGGCAGCAGAGCAGATTGATATTGTCTGTCTTCAGGAGACGGATATGGCTGAATGAGCTCAAGACGGAAGGACTGGCATTACAGTGGAAAGGCCACCAGATATGGGCACCGGTGCAGGGTGCAAAAGGAGGGGTGTGCATCCTGGTATTCCACCATTTTTAGGGGGGACGTTATGGAAAGCAACTCCTAGTAAAAGTGGTATTATTATTCCAAGTATTTTGGCTAAAATGCCAATTATATACAATTTCATTTTGTTTGTTGTTTTTTTAGATGTTGTCAACGCATGAAATGAAACAAGCCGCTTCTCAATTTATCACACGTACTATAAAACAAGAAAGATTGAAACCCCACCCGAACGGGTGGGTAATTGGTACATATCATGCATGACATTCAATTCAAAATGAAAGCTATGCACAATGATTTTTGATAAGTTTTGGTATTATGATTCAAGGGGTAGGTGGGCATGGGTGATACTGCAGGGGAGGAGGAAATTTGGGGAGTGGTGACAGTGTATGGCCCACCGGAAGCCGGAACGCGACGCAGGATGTGGGAAAGCCTGCAGACTTGGTGCCGGAGGTTGATAAAATTTCTTATAGCAGGTGATCTCAACTCCATCGCCGATCCATCCAAGTCTTGCTGCCCACCCAAGGCAGATGGAGGCCCACTCGCTCACTCTCGCTAACGGAATAACTGGCTGGGCTGCACAGACTCATATCGAACATTGTCTCAGCAAGAAAACGTCTACACCTTCTGGGGAAACACAGTGACCAGGAGGAGTAGAATAGACATGATATGGGCTTCGGCAGGCCTAAATGAAGTACTAGAACGAGTGCAGATCAAGCCTATGGCCACTTCGGACCATTCAGCAGTACTGGCGAGCTTCCCAACGGGTTGGCTAGAGATGGGCCACCCACCAAAAGCAATACCAGCGTGTTCAAAAGTGCAGAGTTTCGACCATAGTTGTGGCGCACCTCGGTGCGCAAATTTGTGCATGCGCAGCGCACCGCACCACGTGCAAAATGTTCAACTCGCCTCGCGAGTTCGGAAATTGTCCGCGCCACTTGGCCAAAAAAAAAATTTTGAGCAAGCGTTGCCGAATTCCGAATTCTGCAGGCTGCTCCGCCACAAATTTCAAAATTGCTGATTATGAAAATAAGGCTCATTGAACCTCTAGGTTTTCCTTTTCGGGTGAGGTATGATAACTGGACTTCCCCTTTCCTTCTGCAAATCCCACGCAGAGGTGGACAAATTTGCAAGAAGGGTATAATTGCCCAGTACTGCCATGTTCACACTGCATGGCAGAGGGCACACGAAATGTTTGGTAAGTCCAGCCAACCACCAATATATTGCTGAAGTTTGGCATTCAGGTCTGCATGTCGGCAGTGATGGGTTAGGATGAAGATGCCCGTAGCTCTCTCGTTTTTTCTTTTTGTCTTCTTCTGAATACGTACAGTGACCGTGAAGATGCCTGTAGCTCTCTCGTTTTTTCCTTTTTGTCTTCTTCTGAATACGTACAGTGGCCCAAGGAGCCTCTGGCCACTACTCACCACATCCACAAAAGACATACCATAGACGGTGTATGGTTCCATATTTTAGCAGAAGATTCATTACACTCGGTGAGTACCAGTGAGTGGTGGAGCTAGGCCCTGAGAGTCACATGGAGACACAAACAGGGTCTAGCTGAATTGCTGACCCATAACTCCCGAGCTACAGACCTGAACTCACCGCCACAGAATATACTGGTGGTCTGCTCCCGACTCTCTCATTGTGACGCGGCCACCCTGCTTGCTGAAGCAGCGGTACTCAATGCCTCCACAATGTCTAAGTGCATCGTTGGAGTCATTTGAGCTACCTGCAGGGGACCCTAAATTGACGAAAAGGGAACCCTCTCTCTCTCTCTCTCTCTCTCTCTCTCTCTCTCTCTCTCTCTCTCTCTCTCTCTCTCTCTCTCTCTCTCTCTCTCTCTCTCTCTCTGTGGCACAAATAAATGTTGTGTTTTTTTTACTTTTTTTTTGCGCACCTGGCGCAGCTTCCACAGCGTGCGCACTGTGCACTGCGCACTGCGTACAGCGCACAGTGTGCGCGCTGGAATTCCAGCGCACGGCGCAATGCGCACTGCCCCGCCCCGTGCTGCACACTGGTGCGCCGCAAGTATGGTTTCGACCTATGGTGGCCCAGTTTTGCGAAGACTGGGCGAAAGAATGCCTACAGAACAATCTGTTGGATCATGTGGTGGCGGCAACCCAAGACCTGCGAAGGAACTTGGTAAAACAGTTGCGGAACTTGCGGTGCAATTATCTGGCTCACCAAAGGACGGGAGGAGTACTCTAGCAGGCTAGAGGAGTTTAATAAAGGCCCTGATGGGGAGTAAATGGAAGATGAATGGTGGGTGGAGAGACTGGAGGTGGCTTGAAGTTGGAGGGAATGGCAGAGGGAGGAAGCAGTCAAATGAGGGAGGCGTACCAATGAGTCGTGGATCCTGGTGAGGGAGCGTATGTCGCATAGATTCTTTGCTACGATAGGTAAGCGTAAGGTGGCACCTCTGATGATAGCAATGAACCATCCATTCGACGAGAATCAGGAAAAGCAGCGCACCACACGAGGCATCTTGAAGTATGTTACAGATTTCTACTGGCAACTATTTAACGGAAGAAGAGGATTGGACACCGGTGGAGATGGCCAGTGCACCGGAGCAAGAAGTATGGAAGCATGTCCAGAATCCTCTGGACTTAGAAAGTACGTGCGGATTGGACGATGATCTCAGAGCAGAAAAGATGGAGACAGCAATCGCAGAGGTCCCCCGCCTCAAAGCGCGCGGACTGGACTGGATGCCAGTGGAGATGTATAAGGATTTCCACTGTTTTTTTGTGACCTTGCTGACAACAGCATACAACGAGGCACTGAGGCATGGCTCCTTCCCGCAGGGTT